CTCTTCTCTTCTCTTCTCTTCTCTTCTCTTCTCTTCTCTTCTCTTCTGTGAAGCATAATCCTTGAATGGCAAAAAGAAATCTTATTGCACATAGATTAGATTTTACAGAGAAGGGAAGGCGGAAAAAGCTGTAAGACAATAAGGATGAGTGTTCTAGGCTTCTAAGCAATTTTTTTTTCAATTTTTTCCCCCCAGAGTTATGATAAAATTCACTTGGACTTCTTAAAGAGTGACCATCCTGCCGTCACACGCATGAGAGTGGACTGTGATAATCCATATATTGGTGTCACTTACAAGAATGAGGACAAACTGAAGGACAGGGAGAGTGGATTTGATGAACAAAGACTCAGTGCAGACAGTGGCTATATAATCCCACTACCTGATATTGACCCTGTATCAGAAGATGAACTGAGCAAAAGGAACAGGCACAGGTAAGATTAGAAGGGACTTCATCAGTTTTGGTCATGTGAGGAAGTACAGTCACCTTTGCTCCGCAGTTCCTGTAACTAACTCATTTTTATTGATATTTTCAATCTATAACTATAGCAATAGCAATAGCCCTTGGATTTATATACCTGTTGTGACCTAGGCTTCCTGAGTCATTAAAACACACAAGTAGTCCCCAAAACCTCTTTTATTGCAACAGCTGTGAATTACATTCATTCACAGCTGAGTCCCAATTAGTTGCAAAAAGTCCTTCGGGAGAAGTCCTTCGGGATAATCACCAACCTTTATCTCTCTTGACATGCTGCCAAAGACCTACTTGGCAAAGCCACACGAAGTCCAGAATCAAACAGAGATGCCGACTGGGAACAGAATTAACAACGTTGCTTTTCTGCAAAGGGCCCACGTGCCTTTGCTCCTCTTTTAAGCCTTATGGGAGGGGCCAATCAGCTCCAGGCCTTACTCCTGAGCTGTCCCTTTTGTTTTAACTGTTTGTGCCTTCTGGCAGCTCTGCGCATGCGTGCACTAGGAAAGGCTCCTCCTGTTCCTCTGCCTCTCTGCTATCTGACTCTGGAGGCTCTGGAGTCCATGAATCACTCTTAGATGGCCCTGGTCTCATCTCTACCTCCAATGCAGAGCCTCCGTCCGGGCCTTCCCCAGACTCCAGGACTGACCCATGTTCCTCCCCAGCCTCCTCACTGTCAAACTCCGCTGCCAGCTCTGCAGGCTGCTGGCGGACTGCAACAATACCACTTCATAGTGCTTTACAGCACTGAAAGGTTTATAGAGTAAGCATATTGTCCTCAACAATCTGGGTCCTCATTTTACCAACCTCGGAAGGGTGGAAGGCTGAATCAAGCTTGAGCCGGTCAGGATCGAACTTCTGGCAGTGGGCAGAGTTAATTTGAAGTACTACATTCTAACCACTGCACGCTCTTTGCATTCTAGTCTTTCTGTGGCCACTATATACAACTGAACAAGGGTTTTAAGTGTTGTACGTGGCCCAGAGTCAGTTCCTTGGGAGACGTGTGTCCATACAAATACGATAAGCGGACAAACAGATAAGTAAAGTGTTTTCTGCAATGGTTTGTTACCTTCTTAACTTTTTTTTTCCTTTTGTGTTCTTACGCAGTTCTCAGACGTCCGAGGAAAGTGCCATCGAAACTGGATCCAGCAGTTCTACGTTTGTGAAGCGAGAAGACGAGACCATCGATGATATTGACATTATCGATGACATTGGCATGGATTCCTCAGAACTCGTTGAGGACAGCTTCCTGTAACTCTGGAAAGTAGAGTGGACAACTTTTGAGCTGTGCAAAACAAAAGAGAAAAGAGGAAGATCAAGATATAACTCGTGAACTTTCAATTTGGTTAGGAAAACCACTCCAAAACAGAAGACCTGCCAATGTTTGTGTCTCCACAAGTGGTCACAGAAGCTCCCTTGGTTCGTGGAAGACTTTGAAAAGCCAGTTTCCAAGCATCCTTCTTCTTTGAAGTACTCCATAGTAGCAGTTCAGTCTTGTTTGCTGTTTCAGTAGATGGATGAATAAAAGGAAAAGGCCACGGATACTGCAGTTTGTGTTTCAAGGGCATTCATAACTCAGATGGATAAAATTTCTACTACGGTGAATCATTGTCAGTGTGATTGTATAAATACCTACCAGGTATTTCCTACCAGGATATCTTATTTTTTTTTAAAAGAAGACCACTTAAGACTTTGGCATTTTTTTTTTTACTTCCTTAAGTTTATATAAGCTGCTGGTGGATTATCACCTGAGGTGAATGACATATTGAAAAGTAACCACTTTGGAAAAGCACGAAATGGATTAACACGAAGTAATGTTTTATTTTTTACAGATAATGCAAACAAAAAGGGAACGGCAGGTATTTCCAAAATATATTCAATAGCTTATTAAATCAAACGAGATTCCCCCCTCATAACCATAGAGGAATAGTTCTTTATCTACTGTTCTCAGTATTACTAAGTATAGTTTATAACTACTTCTTGTCCTTTGTTAAAACGCAGTACTTAAAGTCACTACTAACAAACTAAATCATTTTAGGGTTTAAATATTTACACAAAAGGCTCTTCTATTTGACTGTTTTGGTAAATTAAACCTAGTGTAGGAAGTAGGATTAGAAAGTGTTTTCTGAGGAGTCTAGATATTAATTTGCCTTCCTTAACAGAACAGCTTTCTTAATACAGCGGCTAACATGCTAGTAAGACTTCACTAGCAGAAACTGATTTTGCAGAATATAGAAATCTGAAAATGTATTTTTAATAAATGTAATACATTTACAATCAAATTATTGTACAATAGAAATAGGTGACCAATTAATAAGGCTGCTTGAAGCATTGAGGAATGATGGTACACATTTTAAAAATTTTTTGGGTGTGTGTGTGTGGTATACTTGTAACTTGGATGATTGGATACAGCAGCTGATCTTTCTGAACAAGTTTTTTTTTCCCCCTGAGCCTGAAATTTCCAGTTGCGTAGCTACTTTGTGCAAAAACGTTTTCGTTCTAAAGGAATTTTCCTACGAAAATTAGCAAGTTTTGTTTTTCCTGCAATTTCTCCGATGGGCATTGAATCAAAGTATACTCCATGCATGCAGTAGACTTAAAAAACACAGGTCTGCCTAAATTCTGTAGATTTAGTGGAAAAAAGTATGCCGCTGCATTTGTAAAATGTCAATCAGGTAGCATTAATTCTTCTTTTATATATTCTGAGATAGGTTTAATATTACTCTTTTCTTAATCTGCCTTTTTAATACATGTGGTAGAGTGTCAAATTATTGTATGATTTATAGTGGAATCCTATTCACGTCTACGTAAAAGTAAGCCCCCCATCAGGATGTTGGCTTACTTCCAGATCGGTGCATATAGGATTGTAGCTTTTAGGCTGTGATTTTTGTCAGAGGGTCTGTGGAAATAATAAACTGGAACCGGTCTGTATAAATAAAGACTGGGAGCGTATGGTGCACACAAGACGAAATCCCATAATTACGAAAAAATTCAGTCTGGAGTTTTGTAAAGAGAAAAATAAGAAAGCGTACTTGCTTAGAAGAATCTGCTCTTGGTTCTGAAAGCGAAGTTGCATGCAAGTCTATATGTGCAATTTTCTGAATTGGCTCAACGGTGGAAGCAAAAAAAACCCCAAAAACCTTGGCATGTTGTGAAAGGCATTTGGCATACAATTACACTCACCGCAAAGCTCCGACTCAATAGATGGAGCAGAGACTTGGCATTAAGAAAATGTTGCCCGTGTGCCAGTCTGAAGCGTTGATGGATCTCCTGTTCAATCTATGTTCCCAAAGTACTCTTAATGATCCTGCAAAGGTCCCAGAGAGACCATTGCTTGAAGCAATATGTCAATCGCTTCTCTGGCTAGAATTTATGATAGTAAAGAGCAGCATATAAATAAGATCCTGAGTTGGCAAGGCTGTTTTAGAGACAGTGTTGTGTTTATGCTAAGCTCTGTGCTTGGTCCTTGGGCTGAGAAGCCCCCCTTCAGAACTTATCTACAAGGTGAAGGAGTGTTTTGGGTCATCTCAATGATGATTCAGCAACGCGACTGCTCACTTGATTCTGAAGGTTATCTGAAATGCCAGATGATGCTTTAATTTAGTGGAATAGAATAGAATAGAATAGAATAGAATAGAATAGAATAGAATAGAATAGAATAACAGAGTTGGAAGGGACCTTGGAGATCTTCTAGTCCAACCCCCTGCCCAGGCAGGAAACCCTACACCACTTCAGACAAAAGGTTATCCAATATCTTCTTAAAAATTTCCAGTATTGGAGCATTCGCAACTTCTGCAAGCAAGTTATTCCACTTATTAATTGTTCTAACTGTCAGGAAATTTCTCCTTAGTTCTAAATTGCTTCTCTCCTTGATTAGTTTTCATCCATTGCTTCTTGTTCTACCCTCAGGTGCTTTGAAGAATAGTTTGACTCCTTCTTCTTTGTGGCAATCCCTGAGATATTGGAACACTGCTATCATGTCTCCCCTAGTCCTTCTCTTCATCAAACTAGACATAACCAGTTCCTGCAACCGTTCTTCATATGTTTTAGCCTCCAGCCCCCTAATCATCTTTGTTGCTCTTCACTGCACTCTTTCTAGAGTCTCAACATCTTTTTTACATCGTGGCGACCAAAACTGAATGCAATATTCCAAGTGTGGCCTTACCAAGGCATTATAAAGTGCTATTAACACTTCACCTGATCTTGATTCTATTCCTCTGTTTATGCAGCCCTCTCACAGTTACTACTATAAATGATCTCTCCAAGCAGAAAGCATGATTCAGCCCACATTAAGTTCTTGGAAGGTGTCCATGGAGATTCTCAGTCATCCAGGTCATAATTGTCCCAAAGGTGCTTTTTGAGGAGGCAACTGGACTTTCTTGTTTTTTCTTTGAAGACGTTGCGTTTCTCATCCAAGAAGATTCTTCAGCTCTGAAAAAGCAGTCCAAATTGCCTCTTGAAAAAAAACCCCACCTTTGGGACATTCTTGAAAGATGTTGAACTCAACAAATGATAGTTAGATGCATTCTCAAGGATCTCCAATAACAACGGCTGATGTAACAATAAATAAATATTTCATTGTATATTATTCTGGATCTGCCCAACATCACTGCACCAAATAAGTAAACCCAAATTTTCTAGTGATCTACCACTACTTCTCTCTGGGCCAGTCTAATTAATTACAAGTGGGTTGAGATCAGATGCAGACTCCCAATATCTTATTTAGCATGTACCTTCATCAAGTGTTCGCATCCCATTGGGTGGAAAAGTAGGATAGAAATTTTATGAATACCCCAAAAATATAATTTAGGGCTGTTTATGTTCCATCAGCCTTCATGTTTCACCGAGCATTAAATGGACTACAATATTCTTGCCTTGACGGTAATAGTCTCGCCTTTCTTTTGTATCTCACAAAACATGCCTTACTCCACAAGATGCATAGTTCTCTATTTTGTGGACAGACCATCTTTCCTTCACATTCTATGAAGTAGCATCTCGCCTACATGGGCTCAGAAGGTGCACAGGATCAGATCTGGTTAATATGCAGAATAGGGGACTGCCATAAAATACTAGGGATGTAGGATAGACTGACGAGTACAAATAACCCCCACAAAAATCCCTGGTTGAAGCCAACAGTGAACTAATTGTGTGCCAGAAAGCTACATAAATGTGTCTATGTTGATCTTAGTTCCTTGTTGCATTACAGTGCAAATTGGTATGTATTATATGCGGTTCTCTGCTCTCCCTTGCTTGCCACGCTTCATGCCTTTGAGACCAATACTTATTATGGGACCAAGATTTAGATATGGACCAAAATCTTTCTTATTGTCGTAATCTTCTGAAAGTTATAGCTCCAGATAGAGCAGTGGACTGCACATTCAAAAGAAAAACTTAAGTCAACCTCAACCCAAGAGCTACCGTATTTTTCGGAGTACGAGATGCACCTTTTTCCCCCCAAAAAGAGGGTGAAAATCTGGGTGTGTTTTATACTCCGAATGTAGCCCCGCCCGGCTTCTCAAATGGAAGTTCGAAAAAAGCTTCAGAAAAGAAGCCCCCAAACAGAGCTTCAGAAAAAAAGCCTCCAAACAGAGCTTCAGAAAAAAAGCCTCCAAACAGAGCTTCAGAAAAGAAGCCTCCAAACAGAGCTTCAGAAAAGAAGCCCCCAAACAAAGCTTCAGAGGCTTTTTTCCTGAAGCTGTTTCGGAGGCTTTCAGAGGCAGAAAAAAACAATTTTTTCTGAAACAGAGTTTCAGAAGTTTCAGAGGCAGAAAAAAAAAGCAAGGCACAGAGCTCACAACCAAGGAACCTGTTGCTAAAATTCACCTCTGGGAACAGCTGATTGGGGGTATTCCAGGAGGCCGATCCATCTGCCAATCAACTTTTTTCTTATTTTCCTCCCCAAAAAGTTGGGTCTTATATTCCGGTGCGTCTTATACTCTGAAAAATACGGTACTTTATGCAGTTAGATTGCAATCCTATGTGATGGTAAGCTCCACGGAATTAAATGGAGCTATTTTTTTTTAATTGATGTATTTAGGATTGCACTGGATTTTAATAATATAATGGCAGATGAAAATCACCTAGTTTCTACATTATGTCTACTAGTTTTTACATTATGGCTACTAGTTTCTACATTATGGCTCAGATTCAAGAAGCTTTCACAAAAAAATAATAATAAATGCCCAGTTTCTGTCTGTTCCATATACACATGACAATCAAATCTGCCTGTGAAACAGAATTTTCTTGGTTAGAATGGCTGATCTATTTGTTAAAATGTTGTCTGCAATTATACAAAAACAGTCCTATGATATAATGAAGGACATAAGATAAGGTGATGTTATACATCAATATGTATATATGTATTTTTATATCAATTTTGAGGAGTACAAAACATTTATGACAAGCTGTATCACTGCCTTCGTTGATAATTTTTTTTTACTGTGATATATTCCACAGGCATGCTAACTGTTGCACTTTTAAATGTCCAAAATTTATATTTTAGATAAGGAATGATAAGGAAAAGATTGTTTCGAGTGGTAGTTTTGGGAAATGTTTGGGAAGAAGAAGCTGGAAGAGTGACTAAAGGTACAAAATGTAATGCAAATGCCCCTTTTCTTATTTTTTTTTTTGTCTTTAAGAACATGTAAATTAAGATCTTTATATTTCAATAAATGATATATATATATAATTTAAAAATACTTCAGAAGTTTTTATTCTTATTCAAAGCAATCCGCTGTTTCCGCCAGTCCGGTGCTAGACATGATTCAATTCACCTTATTTATTCTAAGTAGCAGTCATTGCTAATACAGTTAGTCCTCGACTTACAACAGTTCATTTAGCGACCATTACAAACGGCACTGGAAAAAGTAACAAAACGGCACTGGAGAAAATCGACTTATGACTATTTTTATACTTGCAACATTCCCACATCCCCGTGGCCACGTAATCAAAATTCAGGCCCTTGGCAAATGACTCACATTTATGACGATTGCAGTGTCCCAGGGTCACATGATCAGCTCTTGGGGCCTTCTGACAAGCAACGTCAATGGGGGAAGCCAGTTTTACTTAACAACTATGTCAGTGACTTAACTTCAGTGATTCACTTAACAACTGCGGCAAGAAAAGTCGTAAAAGTGGTTAAAAAAACTCACTTAGCAAATGTCTCACTTAGCAGCAGAAACGTTGGGCTCACTTGTGGTCGTTAGTGCAGGACTACCTATAGATCAAATTGCTTCACTTTGAACAACCTGTGCACTCAGAGACAAATCTTGTGATTGATGAGGCATTCCGCAAGGAATATATATAGGGCTGATTGTTGGAAGTTAGGACGTACCTAACCTGGGGCTACTTATGACCCAGATTCAAAATTCCCATGGTCATCCCTCACTCCTCCATAGTCATGTGACTCAGCTTTGGGCTCTTGGCAACATGGCTGCCTTTATGGTTCTTTGTAGAGTCTTGTAAACCTGTGACAGTAGTGGGCTTCTATCGGTTCTGTTGTGGCTCCGTTACCTAAGCCTGTGTTATTGGCAGGAGAGGACTCTGAGAGTGAAGGAGAGGAGTTGGCAAGACCTTCCTCTCCAGGACCCTCCTCTCTGGCAATGCCTTCGGTGTCCGCCAAAGGTCAAGAGATAGGCCCAGGGCCAAGCACGTCCACGCAGCCACAGGTGGACAGTAATGAGGGAGATGAGTCTTGGCTGGATGCTCGGCAGCGTCGCAGAGATAAGCGAGCGCAACAGAAGAAGAGGCGTGCCAGGGATTAGGCTGAGTCACTGGACCACACCCCACAGGGTATAAAAGAGGGTGTGGTGGCCGGTTCAGCTCTGTGACAAGCAAAAAACGGATATCGGACGACCTTCTTTGTATTTACTGGACTTTGTTCATTATTGTGTATTGGCTTTGTTCTCGGACGAAGGGAGAAACTCCCCCCCCCTCGTGAGTAAAGAATACCTGGCAGCCAGCCACTGGATTGCTGCCAATTCTGATACAAGATAAACTGTTGTCAGCTGAGTTCTTTAACTGTTGCCTGTCTGTGGGGGTGCATGTTTGAGACGGGGACAGAACAGGTTTGGCCCAGTTCGGGCGAGCCGGTAGCGACGATGGTGAACTGAAAGCGAACTGGTTCTCTCTGATGGTTATGCTGGCCCTCCCACCTGCCCCTGCGTTATACATACCTGATATTTTGTCATTTTTAGCCCAGCTGAAAGGCACGGTAGAGCGGATGGCTGCGTCTCAGCCTTTCCGTAATACACTGTGCTTGAGCGGAGCGCAAGTTTGGCGTGTGTGCGCACAAAGTGCGTGCATGATGCGAACCAGTGGTAACACTGGTTGAAACCCACCACTGACCTGTGACCATGTTTTATGACAGTTTTGCTGAAAACCGGCACTTCCAGTTTTTGGCAAACCGTGCCCATCGTGAACTACTGGTTCAACTTAACAACTGCGGCTGTTGCTTAACAATCACTGCAGCCACTTTATGATGACTTGTTTTACGATGGTCACAACTTACAATTGTGATAGGTTGGCTCCTTGACAGTCATAAGTGAAGGATTACCTGTATTTATATTTCAATATGACTACTCTTGAAGCCGAGAAACAGTATGAGCTGCATTGTAATCCAGACAGGGTTTTACAAAGTCTGGTAAAACAACGTTTTGTTGTGGTCCGCCAGCAGCCTGCAGAGCTGAGTTGGGCAGTGAGGAGGCTGGGGAGGACCATGGGCCAGTCCTGGAGTCTGGGGAAGGCTTGGACGAGGGCTCTGCATCGGAGGCTGAGAAAGGGCCATCTGGGAGGTACGTGCTGCCTCTAGAGCCTCCAGAGTCGGACCTCAGTGAGGCATAGGAACAGGGGGAGCATCTTCCCAGTGTGCGCATGCGCAGAGCTGCCAGAAGGCAAGAACAGTTAAAACAAAAGGGACGACTCGGGAGTAGGGCTGGGAGATGATTGGCCCCTCCCATAAGACTTAAAAGAGGAGCAAAGGCATGTGGGCTCTTTGCAGGAAGCCAACGTTGTTAATTCTGTTTCCAGTCGGCATCTCTGTTTGATTCTGGACTCCGTGCGGCTTTGCCAAGTAGGTCTTTGGCAGCATGTCAAGGGAGATAAAGGTGGGTGATTATCCCGAAGGACTTCTCCCGAAGGACTCTTTGCAACTAATTGGGGCTCATCTGTGAATGAACAGAATTCACAGCTGTTGCAATAAAGGAGGTTTTTGGGACTACTCGTGTGTCTTAATGACTCAGGAAGCCTAGGGCAGAACACATTTATCATCTATATCAGGGATGTCAAACACAAGGCCTGCGGGCCAGATCCGGCCTGCGATGTGGTTGGATCCAACCCGTGGGGCCATCCTGGAAAATGTAAGGGGCCGGCCTGTCTCGCTTCAGCCCAGTCTACCCAGTGCGAAGAGGAAACATACCAGCAGTTTGGGGAGTGGCATCAAGCTGGCCACGCCCACCCAGTCGGCCACGCCCACCCAATCAGCCACACCCACCCAGCCCCCCCGAGGTCAACCACAGCCCTGATGCAGTTCTCAATGAAATTGAGTTTGACACCCCTGATCTATATGAAGCTGCTGGGGCAGTTCATCAGTGTAGGATTCATTATCATCAGATCACATGCTGGTGCTACCAAGATTACCAGGCAGTGGTGGGTTGCCCCTGGTTTGCACCGGTTCTATAGAACCGGTAGTAAAACCGGCAGGAGGCTCCGCCCACCCACCCGACATCATCAAAACACTTCTGCGCATGTGCAGAAGCTTCTGTGCTTGCACGCGGCCCTGCTACAAACCAGTAGTAAAGGTAAGTAGAACCCGCCCCTGTTACCAGGCGATGCTATGGAGGTCTTGTTTCATTATCTGGATAGGCTATTGGTTTTCTCAGGGCTGAGCCTATCCAGATAATGAAACACCCTAATTAGAAACAATCCTTGGCTCCATTTGTTGAAAAAAGTATAGTTTTATTAGAAGTTGCAGTAATGCATAGCCAGAACTGAGAATCGCACGCCAGAATCCCTAAATTCGACATTTCCCTCCCTTAACTGCCTCCCATTGCTGCCCCCCTCCCATGACCAATCAGAGTTAAGCAAGATGTTCTCAGAATAGTCACTTCAAGCGTAGGTTGGTATGCAGCTGCCTTTTTCTCGTAGCTGGGTGACCTTGAAGCGGCATCTCAAGAAGATACAGAATTTACTTTCGCTTTCCCCCAAGCATTCCCCCTCTCCCATCCTCTCTCCCCAGAGTTCATGGTAACGAAGCATAACCACCTTATGCTTCCAGGAAGCATAAGGTGGCAGCTGACAAGACATCTTAAGACAGGTTCTCATGCTTTCATCATCTCACATTTGGACTTTTGCAATGTGGTCTACATGGGGCTGCCCTTGAAGATTATTCAGACTCTTCCTGATCTAGAATGTGGTGGCATGGTCTTGTGGGGTGTGTTCATATAATACTTCTGCTTTGTGAGCTGCACTAGTTACTTGTAAAGTTCCAAATGCAATTCAAAGAGCTACTTATCATCTATGGCAGTGATGGCTAACCTTTTTGCCATCGTGTGCCAAAAACAGCGGGAGTGCGGGGGTCGTGCGTGCGTACCCCCACCCATAATTCTATGCATCCCGCACCCTGTGCATGCACACATGACCCCCCTCATGCTCCCCACGCTTTTGGCACGTGATGGCATGGTGGGCCTGGTAGGCCTGTTTTTCACCTTCCCCAGGCTCCAGAGCCTTTCTAGGAGCCTGGGGAGGGCAAAAAGGGCCTTCCCCACCCCGCCCGGAAGCCCTCCAGAGGCCAGAAACAGCCTTTTCCCCCGACTTCCGGTGGGCCCAGAAGGCCTGAAAATCAGCTGACCAGCGTGCACATGCGCACCGGAGCTGAGCTCGCGTGCCCACCCATATGGCTCCACGTGCCACCTGTGGCACGTGTGCCATAGGTTCACCATTACAGATCTATGGAGTCCTTCATGGCAAAGGGCCTGATTCAGGGGTGAAATCCTACCGGTTCAGACTGGTTTGGGAAAACCGCTAGGAATTATTGGCATCAGTTCGCCAAACCAGTAGTAATCACCCCTCGTTGGCCCCACCCATCCACGCCCTGCCGGTCGCTGCTCACCTCTTCGGATTGCTCGATATTCCACAGAATTCAGTGTTAAATGCAGCAGAGAGAATGCTAACTTTTCTCCCTCCATTCAGAACGGAACTGCTGCAGCCTGTCCCTTTTAAGGTAGTCCCCAGGAGGGAGGGGGACAGGGGGGGTAGTAGCTGGAATGGAGCCGTTTTCGTGAAAGGCAGGAAAATGGGGAAGGGGATTTTCCTGCCTGTCATCCATTCCTCAATCTCAGCACAGACTGAGGGAAGGGTGGTAGGCAGGAATATTCCCCTCCGAGACGCAACTTTGAGATTTATGTGGCCTCTACTCGCACCTTATTTAAGCATGGTTGAAAATACGGTTTTCCCCCAGGCCTTGGGGCTCGAGTGGATGGCAGACCTCAGCTACAGAACCAAACTTCCAAGTACCCATTTTATTTCCTGCATGCCAGTGCTAAGCACTGAATTGGCTTTATCAGTCTAACCTAGCTTACAGAGTTGTTCTGGAGAAAAATTAAAAAAACAACAACAGGATGAATCCCATAAATATCAATAAGAAATATCTTCTTAACGTCATGGGAAGAAAGAAAGAAAGAAAGAAAGAAAGAAAGAAAGA